GTTTCTCCCCTTCTGCTGCAGCCCCATCTTCTGTCTATCAAATCACAATATTTATAATATAATATAATTCCTTCTGCTGCTTGTAGCTCAAATCCTGCTTGTGACTTTATCATACTATAATATTTCTTTAAATAGTCCGAAAAAGGCATCCGATCTTCCATAAAAGACTCATTACTAGATTCTCTTAATTTTGCTGTTAATTTTGCCAGTTCTGCATAGTTCCTTATCTTAACTTATCCATTCTTCTTTGGTTGGAACTTCTTCTTCCTTCCATTTCTGCACATGTGGAATCCTAGCTGCTGTTGTTACATACATAAACAACTTTAGCATTTTGGCGGGGTTGGGTGGGGATTTCTGTCCCTATAATCCGTAACAGAAATGCTTCAGGCTTTTCAGACATACTCATTTTAAACATCTTTTTTTAATCTCATCGTGTATCATTTCCCAAAATCCCCTCATTTTCCTGCAAGTCCACCATCTATATCTATATCTATATCTATATCTATATCTATATCTATATCTATATCTATATCTATATCTATATCTCCATCTACCTGTTTACACTTCCAGCAATTATTAGGAAACTTCTTATATATTTTAGATAATTTATTAGGTGTAAAGTACCATCTACGCATCATTTTCATATTATACAGCGCTTCTCAACTCCTTATATGCTCCTTCCTCAGGCTTGAAATCCATCTGGGAACAGGACTTGGGGAAGGAAACTGACAGTTAGCTGGAATAGGATCTGGTCTACAAAACCTTCTTCCTCTGTCTCAGCCACTATTATGGGCAAATTGCATGAAACAATGCATAAGTAGTTTTTACATTCCGGTTGGATTGGCACATATTCATGGAATGGGCAATAAGCTTTGGGGGTGGAATTACACCTTGGCTGGCCCTGCCCAACAGCATTTGGGGCTGAAATAATTTCTGAAATCAGTGTCTTTGTCGGTGACATTGTACATGTGGTGCCTGCCTTGTGTTCATTGTCTCATTGGTTGTTTTAAAGTCTCTTGTTATTGTATACAGAAGCTTCTGTAATGGCTCAGAACTAGAAAGACATCTCAAATGCCATAGTGGTGGACTTGGGGCTTTCAGATTTTAGTGGCAACTGGAGTGATGCCAAAATCCAGCCCCTCCCTGTCTCTTGCCTTCTGTTCTAAGTCACTGCTGGTCTGCCCCCGAGAGCCAAGCCACCCTCTCAGCTTGGTGCCCATTGCAGTCAAACCAGTCGTGCTCCCCGAAATCCACCTCTGGCGAACAGCTGCCTTGAAAAGGACTACAGATGGGGCTGCGTCTTAAGAGATGCACACCAGATTGTATTTTGCACTCCACGCAAGCATACCTGTAGAATTGTGGGCTTTGGCCGGAGTAGAATTTGTACCACCTCACTTCGTGTTGGTGGCGTCTGCCGAAGATGGAGACCGTGATGTTGAAGGTGACTTTCCTCTCTCTTGCCTTGAGGAGACAAACCTGCTCTCCGAACCCATCGCAAACAGATGCGTTGGAAATGGTGATGCGGAACCCAGGGTCTGCAAGCAGACAAAGAGTGAGGTCAGTTCAGGTAGGTAGGTTTTTCAATGAGGCTACAGTATATTAAAGCCAAGGAGAACACTTTGAGCTCTTGCTAAGTTAATGATTAACTGATCTTTGTTTCTCTGGTAGCTAACGTGAGTGTTGTGACTTTAGATTATGTGAGAGGTATTGGGTTGCAAATCTCCATTTTGAATCGAGTTGCCTTTGAGTCTTTTCTCTCAAACTCACTGGAGTGAGGATGTAAATGAAGTTCTCCTGAAGGGAGAGTAAACAGCCTGGAGGCTGGAATGCAGGGTGTGGAGAGAAAGGGAGAGAGAAAGAGACACCTTTGCTTTTAGGTCTGTTTGGATTATTTCATATTTTGTAAAATGTGACGCTTGTGCTGGACAGCACAATACATTGTATAGATATTCTGGAGATGTGATTTGATGTATCTTTTTTATTTTAAAAAAGTTCTGTCAGTAAAAGCTTGAATACTATTTCTGAGAGTCTGAACAATGATTTATTCCAAAAGGAGTTAGTTCTTATGCTACCAGTTGTTTCAGACTGGTCAATATTAGTATCTGCAACACTTGCTATTAATAATATAGGCAGTAATTCTCAGTCTACAAAATTATCTTTCAGCATCTGTCTTTATATCTTTCTTCCACAGAAGAGCTTGTGAAGGAAGCATTTAATCATATCCCTCTTTTACAGATCGGGTAAATGGAGGCTGGGAGAGGGAGGGGGAGTGATCAACCAAGACCACACAATGTTATAAAGGTGAGTTTATTATTCACTTATTTCATTTATGAATCACATCCCACAAAACATCATGAAGCAATTAAACAATTAATCACACACACACACATTGAATCCAGGTCTTTCCAGTTCCAAGATATTTACTCACTAGGGATACAAGAGAAATTTGTATTTAATTCTCATTTGATTCACACAATACGTGGACCAAAGAACAACCTTCCTTTGAAATTTGCATTTTTCTGAAACTTGCAGTGCAGTTCTGCAGCTAAGTGCAAAAATACATATACTGGGGCAAAGTGTGCATAAAACGAATGCATGCAGGGGTGCCCAAACCTTTTTCATTTCAAAGAGTGCCAGATTTGATGAAGTGAACACGTGTGAGGCCCGACCTAAGAGTTGTTGAGCTTTTTTTTAGGATTTTACCTCAGGAGACATATACTGCCACGGAGGCTGGAGTAAATCGATCGATTAGCCCTCCGAAACAGACTTTAGACATGCCTGCATTAGTGAATATGACTTACAAAAATCCATATGGTGGAAGGTTGCTCTGTAAAAACTGTATTAGGCAAAATTGCGTAGAAGCTTGTGTATATTAGGAGAAATCTGCACTAAAATGCTGATTAATTTTCATGAGGACTTTAAAAAAGAATGCAATGAGATGTGGAAATGTGGAGAACCAAATTTAGGATTGGGAAAACTTGGAGAGAGAAAAAATGACAGATTCGCCCATCTGCATCACACACTGTCAGGGAACTGCCATCGGAGCTAGAGGCGGAGGGAAGGCTCCAGAGTCATGCTGGAGAGGCAGGGAGAGAGGCAGCCCATCTGCTGGGGAAGGAAATCAGCGTAACACCAGTGGAGAAGGGGGGCAGATGGGGAAATCAGAGAGGAGGCTCCAGGACTCCTCGCCGGAGACCAGCGGAGAGAGTACGGGTACTCCGCTGCCCACACCCTCCGCGCAGGGAGAGTAGGAGGAGACTTGGCGCCAAACAGCTTTTATGCTGGAAAAGGTTCAAGAAACGCCCACTGACGGATTCTGCCAGTGACTGAGACAGTCACGATGCTGGAGGCTGTTCAGTCAGAAAGGGTTAACCAGGTAACCTAGCCAGGAGTGGCGGCAACTTACGCACGAGCAATCCCTAAACCCATTACACACACACACTGCACTAAAAGCATTTTTGGGTTCCTTGGGCTATCTGTGTGCACAAGAGGGAATGTTTTAAACGTGGTATAGAAGACTGAATTCTAGCCACTGCGGGTCTCTGCCGCCCCCCAAAAGAGGCAGATGTGGACACAGGTATTAACTTACCTTGGCAATTGTTTATTCCATCCCCCTTGTAGCCTGGCAGACACCGGCAATAGTAATCAGATGTCAGCTTGTCAAGTTGGCAAATGGCCTTCGGGTGACAGAGAATCCTCCTGGTGACACATTCCAGTTTATGTGGATCTGGAGAGAGGCCGGGAAGAGATGCAAAATTGTTGATCACTGCCACCATCCTTAAAATGGAGGTGCATGGCTTCAGTAGTCAGAAAGGGCACAAATAAATGTTAAATCACCACTTCCTGGAGTAGGACATACTGGGACTTACCGAGTTCAGAGTAAAGTTCATTGAACGTTGCGGACCCTGTGATAGGAATTTTGAGGTCTTAGCTATATGTTAAATGTTCATAAGTGTACCAACCAAGCACATACATAGATCAGCACAGGAAGACCAACCTGAAACCATTTTGATTCCCAAACTGACCAAATGTTTTCTCTGCAAGGTCAAAGGAAAATGGAAAAGCCTCCCCATTGTCTTTCCCTTCACAAATCCTGTCTTAAGGTTATGTCTGTGTTTGAATAGGGTGTGAGCCTGTGACCTGGCCCAGGAACTAAGTATTTATCATTACAAAAGACTGGCCAGGTTACCCAGGCAATCCAATCAAGTAACCTGCCAGACAGGAGATAAACAATGACAGGAGAAAAACAACGTTCTAATTTCTGTTTTAAGACCACCTTTTCTGTGATGTAGGTATGATGTATCTGAGGGTTGGTCTTAGGTTACACCCCTTCTGTGATGTATGTATGATTTTTCTGGGGGTGGTCTTGATCTACAGGGTGGTAATTTCAAAAGTCTTTATAAGGCTTTGCATGCCATTTTTCTGGGTTCCTCCTCTCTCCTGCGGGTGAGAGGAGCACCCTGTTGCAACAGTTCAATAAAGATCAAGTTTACTAGCTGCTTTGCTTCTCAATATTCTCTGGTTGGCCTGTTATTCTCTCCTACCAATAGGGAACCTATGTAAGGACTCTATATAGGCTCTTGGATACCCCACAAGGGAAAGGGGCAATTTTTGTTTACAACAACCCAGAAGGGAATGCAGCCCTTGGGGTGAAAAGCCTCAGCACTCTTGAGTTTGTGTGTGTAGGAGAGACAGAATGAATGGATGGGTGCAGAAGAGAGAGGGGTTGAATATCCACAAGGGAATATAGCTCTCAGCCCCCAAAATGTTGCTCCCCCTGTTCTAACAGGCACAAATTATCCCTAAATGAAGAGAGGCAACTAACACAAAAGCTGGACATTCCTGCGCCAGCTGATTTGAAGTCTCCTGGTGATTTCATCAGGACGCTGAACACCGGAGATACACACTTTTGGGACCCACCCTCGATCATGCATTGCTTTTAACAGATTTTAATATTTTACTTTGACCTTGACCTTACTTTGACCAATAATGCAGTCCTGTGACCTTACGGGCAGGCAAGAAATGTTAGTTGTGCTTCCTGCATTGCAGGTGATTGGGTTAAGTGATCCTTCCAATTCTTTGATTCTATGAAATCTAAGAACCATTTTTTTTTTTTACAAAGGCGGTCACAGAAGGGGTTCTAGGTTTTGTTTGTCCCCCGCCCTTCTCGTAAGGGTCTTACCATGGATCTTGCTTAGGACCTGTGTGGTGATGAGGCAGAGCAGAGAAGCCAGGCGGCTCACTAGCATTTTCAGTTAAACCCCTCCTTTGTGGTTAGCTCGCATCTTGCTGGCTGCGGGCACGATTAGGACGGTGTTGGCGGCATGTCTGTGGGTCTGCAGGCAGGTATTGTTATGTCTCTGGGATCTGCAGGCAGGAGGCACCAGGCCTAGCGTCCAGGAACAGAGAAGGTCCGTTTCAGTTCAAAATATCTCGAAGGTTCTGCTTCCGGGATTCCAGGGGGCTTCCGATTGTGGGCCAGAGTTCCTCGTTCCGTCCTGCAGAGCGGCAGTTTTCAAGCAATGTTCTAGGAGATCCTGCGGGACAGGCTCCTGGTTCCGGTCTGCCTTAATGGAGGCAGCTCCCACGACAGCGGGAGATTGTTAGCGATCCTACTGACGCAGATCGAAATAACGCAAGGAAATCAGATCCTGCCGTGCGTTGCAATAAATCCATGCTTTATTTATTTTAAAATTTCATTTCACAGTTTAATGTTGTTGATATCTTGAACTCCAATTGCGGGTGTGTGTGTGCACCATAACCTTTTCAGGCCTCGGGGCCACTTCATTTAGCCCTGGTCTATCGTCTATTCATATAAATTAGCCTATGAAAAGTATATGCAAATCTGTGCCCTCCCTTTCCTGGCACATCCCTTTCCTCCTTTTGGGTGATGTGCAAGTGATCCGCTTAGCAGGGCACCCTGTTCATGTGGGGCAAAGGGGAGGCTCCAGGCAGGCTTGAGCTGATCGTGGACCCTAAAACAGGTGCAGGAAGACTTCCGGCTAACTGGATCTATTCCAGGGATGGGTAATCTCAGACCCAAGACACAGCGCCCCTCCTTCCCCAGGCCTCTCTGTATGGCCCTTGGGACTCTTTCTAGGCCATACCCAGGCACACCAAATTTGTATCTGCCCCCAAATCCCAGGAGAAATTAAAACATCACTCATTTCCTAGGTCCCAGCTGAAGCAGTATTATATCATTTAAAACAATCACAGTTTCTCTCCCCAAGAATCCAGGGAAATGCAGTTTTTTTAAAAAGATATTTATTAAACTTTATTAATACTTTTATTATTTAATATACTTTATTTTCAAAACAACAAAGGAAATATAGTTTGTTCAGAGGTGGGGACAGCTGTCTACATTAATGCTTGGATGCTGTGCGCCATTTTGATTCAAGGTGGCAGAACGAAACATCACTTTGGCGTGACTTTTCCTGTTTTCTGGGATAGGTTTGGCCACCTCTCGAGATACCATTGCCAACCTTGGGACGAAGGTTTCTAAGATGAGGCATGCATTGATGTTTGAACTCCAGGCGCCATTTGGAATTACCATAGCGTACTGAAACATTTTGGGTGTGACTTCACCCATTTTTTGGCATGAGTTCATACCGCCTCCTGAGATATTGCCACCAAACTTTGCATGAGGGTTCCCAAGTGGGGTGGCAGTGGTTTTTGTTGATGTTTGGATCTGGGCACCAATTAAGAATCCGGAAGGCTGAAATGTGTGTTTCTTGTCACGGAATAGAGGAAATGTGCATTTATTTGTGCCTTACTGAACACAGATAATGACCTGGCCTCCTATTGATATTTATTCCATCAATGTCAAGGGTGGGACCCAACGTTAGTCCTACTCAATAGCAGACTCACTGAAATTAATGGATATGACTAACAGATCCATTCGTTTCAGTGGGTCCGCTCCGATTAGGATTTAACTGGATACAACCCTATAAATATATCTCATCTGAACAGTTACTCCTGAGCAATTTTTACACTTGCGTCAGATTGATGCACAGTTAAAACTTACAGAATTTCTTGCCACAAGGTTATGCCATGAATGCAGACTGCTATATATTTTGGAAAGTTGCTTGTCTGTTCATTTAGCCACCTCTTAAGGTACTGTCACAAATTTGGCACGATGGTTCCTGAGATCAAGGAGCAAGTTTTCTTCCATGTCTGGATACAGCCAGACACCTTTGGAATCACAATGGAGGACTGAACCCTGCACTGATTTCAAGCACTGATTTAAAAACTGCACTGGTGTGTGTGTGTGTGTGTGTGTGTGTGTGTGTCTTAGAATTCCTGCACAACACGAGGTACGAGGCCCCTAGCAATAAAATTAAAATAAATAACGTGGTTTTGGAAGTAGTTGCTACTGCTGAGTCTTCAAGCTATATTGTGACGATATGACATGACTGCTTCGGTGGTAATGCAAATTATTAGCAACTTACACCACTAGTAGGAGCAGGTTTCTTGCAGAATAAGAGGAAGCGGCAAGTGGGTCAGAGAGAGAGAAACTAAACATTACGTGCAATCATTTAATTGGAGTGAGGAAAAGGAATTATAAAAGATGACCAAGAATGGATCAAGCCCCAGTTAGGAAAGAATGTGAAGAGGAGAGACTTTAGCTTTCAAATCTCTATCTGCTGGAACTCTTTTTCTTAGAGGTAGGGATTGGAGGGAGCGGTTCGGAGGCGCCCAGAGCTGGGACTTTCACCCCTTTCTGTTTCAGCAACTGGTAAAAGTCTAGACGGTCTGTTATTATTTTCTGGAAGACAGATCCACAGAGGAGCTTTCTGTTAGAAATGGAGGCAGCTATTCCATTCCCCCATCCCGCTTCTGCATTGCAGCCACAGTGACAATCTGACTTCCACATGGTTACTTTTACCTGTAAGGACTCTAAAACTTCATCGTCTGTGATTTCGGCCTGGGGAGACTTGATGCCAGGGGTGCTGTAAGTTGCCTGGATGATTCTGCTCCGAAACCTTTCAAACTTTCAGTGAAAAGAAGGGCGGGGGAATGAAGTGGACAGTGCCTTAGTTCAAAAATTAGAGAATGTCATTCCTTAGAATCAAAGCTAATGCAGTGAGGCAAAGGTTGCCCCTGGGCAACCTGTTTACATTCGTCCTGGTACATGTGCACAAAGATTCCGAGTACGACCATTGCTTATTCTGATTTCTTTGGGAGAAGGTTGAACAACATTGCACCAAGCAGTCCTTATCCCTCACTTTCCAGTGGATATCCCTGTCACTTTCCTTACAGCAAAAGCTCTGGGTTTTTTCGGAAGTGGGTTTATTGCACAAGAGCACCAAATCCACCAGAGTTGCGCAATCTGGATTTCCCAGCATGCGACTGAATCGCACCCCTGAAACAGGGACATTCCAGAAGTGGCCAGGATTCTCAGTCACTGATTTGCGAGAGCAATGTTTCATGCCATTTTCAAATTTGTTTCCATCTCTCAAGAGCACTAGAAACTTAAATTCAGATTTTTATCCATTTAAAATAGCATGGCTTACCCCAAGGAACTCTGGGAAGCGGGGCAAACGGGGTACAGCCCCACAATAAGCAGCTCACCCCCCACCTGCCTGCCTTCTTGCTTACATCCAGCCCTGTGGATGGCCCTGGCTGTCCAATTCCTTCTCCTTAGCCCTAGTGTTGCCCTTGTGGAACTCAGCAGGAAGGAGGATGCAGTCAAAACTAGATCTGGCTCTGCTTGTCATTGGCAGTGGCTGCAGCTGTCACTGGCTCTGGTGCCACGTACTGCCTCCCTGCCAGCCCCAATGGGCATCAACCACCAGACTCTGGGAGCTGCCGTTTTGCAGACCGACAGAATTCAGTTCTGTTCCTGAGGTACTAGTGAAAATACTTTGGGCCTGTGTGTAGACATAAACGTACGTTCATAACATTACATGCGCATATGCATGTAAGCATGCAAGCATGCATTAAACAGAAAAGGTCTTGGGTTCAATCCCTGGTAGGTTGCACTGGGCACAAAACTCCTGGAGAGCCTCTGCCAGTAGACATAGACCAGGGTTTCCCAAACTTGGGTCTCCAGCTGTTTTTGGACTACAGCTCCCATCATCCCTAGCTAGAAGGACCAGTGGTCAGGGATGATGGGAACTGTAGTCCCAAAACAGCTGGAGACCCAAGTTTGGGAAGCCCTGGTGTAGACAATACTCAGCTAGATGGACCAACTGCCCTGCCTTTGTTTTAATTGAGTTTAGTAGCGTATTTTTGCACTGCTGTGGTGAAGGGTCGATAAGAAATGCAAATGTTAATAACGGTAATAACAAGGACCTAACAGCAGTAACAGTGGTGGTAGCAGTGGTTGAAGAAGCCCTGCGATCTGTGGAGAAGATTACCCTGGCACTGATGCTCTCCAGAGTGACTCTGGTTTGCAGCTCTGCCCGCTGCAAGATCTCCAGCTGCCTCTGCAGATCGTTCTCCCGGCTCAGCTGGTTCCCAACATGGTGCTGATTCAGTAACAGCTCGGCCTGGAGCCGGTTGACGTTGCTCTGCAAGTCATCAATCATCTGGCTCTTGTCAGTTAGTTTGGATTCCAGATCAGCAAGGTCCTGCGTGGCAGGAGAGGAGAAAGATAGAACTGTTAACTAAGAGTAAGGATGGAGGTTTTGATTTTGTCTGCTTTCTAATGGGAAACTACCTAATTTGCAGTTCCCGGACTAATAAACAAACCGAAACGCAGCTATCCTTTGAAAATCCACACTGCGCCGAATTTTTCTCCAGCCAAACACTGTGCGCAACAATAATTGAAATGTGAGAGGAGAGTGCAAAATGGCTGCTGTGGGGGCACGGCATATCAGAAGATGGCTGCTGTCGTGGGACAGCTTGGGCCAATCATTATCTCTCGGTCTAACCTACCTCAAAGGTAGGATAAAAGTGGAGAGAGGGAGACACGTATACAGCACCTTGGGCTCCTTGGAGGACAAGTGGGATAGAAATGTAGTAATTAATAAAGCAAAAAACAAAACAGAATAATGGCTTGAATGTAAGAGAGGCTGAGGCTGTAGAAACAGGAATGGTGCATGAAAAGCTCAGTCTCTTTTGCAGGTGCCTTAGGAGTTACAGGCAATCACACTGGTGCCCATGGGCACCACATTGGAGACCCACAATTAGAACTTAGGAACCTGCTTTGTGGATTCAGTTTGCATTTAGTGGCAAAGCCACCTGATTTGCACTTTCTGCAACAAGAAATGAACTGAAGCACAGTCCAGCCACTGAAATTCACACTTCCCCAAATTTTCCAGTGCAGTTCCCCAGACAGGTAAGGTGTGGGGGGAAATGCATACGCTAGAGTGCAGCGCACCTGCAAATGCATATATATGGGGAAATATAATTTTAAAATGCCTCGAATTAGAGGAAAATGCATGCAACAATGGGCATATTAGGAGAAATTCAAACGGAAATGCTGAGGAAGTTCATGAGGACTCCCCGCCACCCCCGACACACACAAAAAATGCAAACTGATGTGGAAATGTGGAGAAGCGAAGTTTAAGACCGGAAAAAATGAGAGAAACCAAAACTGAGATATTCGCCCTCCCTACTGGCAGGGAGCAGCAACTCACCTGCCTGAGATTGTAATTCTCTCTCTCGATGGAGCCCATCATTTCTTCGTGCTTCCTCTCCTCTCTCAAGTTGCTAAACTAAAATAAAAAGGCAAGCATGATAAAGGGCTCCATTTAGTATGTTTGTTTAGTACAACTCCATTTAGTATGTTCACGGCCCGGCGGAAATCCCAGCTGGAAAGTACAGCCCCTAAGAATACAGGAAGCTTCCTTAGACTCAGCCAGAGCACAGCTGCATCTAACTCAGTATTGCCTTGATTACTTAAATTGCAGAATTCGCTCCCACAGGAGGTAGCGATGGCTGCCAACCAATTATTTAGGGTTAGACCAATTCATGGAGAAGGCTGTCAATGGATCCTAGCCACAATGGCCATGCTCTGCCTCTGTAGTTGGGAGGCAGTAATGCTACTGGAACACCAGTTGCTGGAAACCACAGGAGGGAAGGAGTGCTCTTGTGATTTCGGCCCCTGTGAGAACAGGATGCTGGACAAAATGGACCACCGGCCTGATGCAAGAGCAGGGCCCTTGGTACGTCCTTATGTCTACTCCCATCTGCCAGCAGCTCTGCAGGATCTCGGGCTGGGGACCTTTCCAGCACTGCCTGGAGATGCTGGGGATTGAACCCAGGACAATTCTGCTTGCAAAGCGGATGCTCTACCACTAAGCCATGGCAACTTCCTCCAAGTGCCACGTGAACCTCCAGCCAGCCACAGACCTGCCATCTCACCATAAGGCCATGAAGATCTTAGCAGCAAACCTGCTAGAAACATGTAGAGGGGGCAATCCATTCTCTCAGCCCTCTCAGGCACCTAGGAAGTTATCTTATGCTGAGTCAGACTACTGGTCCAACTAGCTCAGTATTGGCTGCATGAATGCCAGTGGCTGTCCAGGGTTTCAGAGAGGAGGCTGTTCCAAATCCTTATCTGGAGATAGCGGGGATTGAACTGGATCCCTTTTCTTTCTCCAGTTAATTTTTATCTATTTTTACAAATCCATAATGAATTAAACAACTTTAATACAGTGGTACCTCGGGTTACAGAGGCTTCAGGTTACAGACTCTGCTAACTCAGAAATAGTACCTCGGGTTAAGAACTTTGCTTCAGGATAAGAACAGAAATTGCGCAGCAGCAGTGGGAGGCCCCATTAGCTAAAGTGGTACCTCAGGTTAAGAACAGTTTCAGGTTAAGAACTGACCTCCAGAACGAATTAAGTTCATAACCCGAGGTATCACTGTACAACTTTTTAAAAAATAAATAAATAATGGCTTCCCAGATGTGCCAATACTTAACCCTTATTGCTGCTTATATTTCATAATTATCTCTAATTCACAATTTCCCCCTTTTGTACTTGTCCATTCATTTGTCAATTCCTGCTTGTACATTAGTTAACATTTCCAATGTTATGAAGTGAGGATTGCTCATCCGTTTATCAATCCACATTAACCCATTAATTATTATTTCTGAAACAAAACCTTCATTTCCCTCCATCTGTGTATATAAAAAACTTAATCATTCCCACTCTGTAGTTGTTTTCCATTCGATTCTTAATTTGTAACAAATTCACATCAAATTAATTTGAATTCCCTACATCTTTAAAAGTGTCCTGGAGTGGAGACCTTCCTTACAGAAAGCAGGTGCTCAACCACTGAGAAACGGCCCCCTCCTCACCATCTCATGCATTCAGCTATTTAAGAGCACGCCTTAAAAAATTACAAGAATTCTCAGCCTTCCCCGCAATCCAAACCCAGCAGAACTGTGTAAACCCCCCAATCAACATACTTTATTAGACATGGCTTCCAGCTGAGCTCCCCGCTCCCGCAGCTCCTTCTGCAATGATTCTCGCTCTGCGTGAGCTTTCCTGAGCTGGGATGCCTCAAAGGATAGCTGCCTTTGCAAGGAAGATATCGCGCCTAGGGAATCAAAAGAAAAGCCCGTGAAGGTGATCGAGGCCACCCAGTATGGATCGCCAGAAACTCTCCACTAGCACGAACCCTCTGAATTAACAAGAGAGGGACCTGCAAACCAATGTTGCTGTTTTGCTTTTGCCTTCTTGCAGGCATGTTCTCGTCCAATGGACAACCAATCCCAATCCCAGGAAACTCCATTCCATTCCCTGTGCCCTGGTTTTCTTTTCTTCTTCCAACCAACACTCAGCAATCCATGGTTGCTAGGCACGCTCAGCTCTCATTGGGCTCTTGAGGAGGTCACCCGCTTAGGATTCCAAAATGATTGTTTTGCATTTCACCTAACCTCAGGGTTCCACTGAGCATGCTCACAACTCCCCTTGTTTCTCAGTGGCCTCACCTTAGTTCCATTTCAATCAGTGCCTACAATGTGAGGTTGCCTCCAGAAGGGGTGACTCTTGGTTCCCCAAGGAAAATATTAGCCAACCCATTTCCATATATAACCATCTCAGCTTTCCAAAAGTTACCTGTGGCCATGTCATAATTGCATTTCACTTTCTCCAGCTCGTCGTACAGCTCGTCGTTTATCCTCTGGAACTTGAGAAGCTTGATAAAAAGGAGCTCCTCTTCCGATTCTTCCATTTGCACTTCTTCGTAAGACCCACTTTCCACACGCATCTCTTCCTCGCCCTCCAAGCGTACCTTTTCCTGTATTTCAGAGTACTGCGCAGAGAGAGCGCAAAGAAAGACTGGGATGCCAAAGTAAGGGCATGGGAGAAAGCCAATTTCGTTCGCGTTTTAACAGGAAACTACCCAATCCGTACTTCTCAAAGCAACACGTGAGCTGGAACACAATTAGCCTTTGAAATCTGCACTTCTCCAAATTTTGTACTGCGGCTCTCCAAGCAAGAAAAGATTGCAAATATGCACACCCTAAGGAGAAGATTTGCATAGAAATGCATACCTTACTGAAAACAGCATTCAAAAATGCATTATAGTAGGGAAAACTGCACCCCCCCCAAAAAAAAGGGTATGTTAGGAGAAATCCACACTAAAATACTGGTGAATTCTCATGAGAATTTAGGGGTTGTTTGGGTTTTTTTCCCCTTCAAAAGTGCAAATTGCTGTAGAAATGTGCAGAACCAAATTTACAACTGGAAAATGAGGAAACTGGCCTCTGCTAGGTTCCTCTACTCAAACGTTTCCCCTTCTTCCTCCATTTTCCCTGCCTGGATTAGACCTTTTACTCACCAACGAGGCAGAACTTTAGGGTACGGGTCCTGGGACCCCACAGAGTGAGCAGATGGGCCCCCGTTAAACGCAGCAGCAGGTCGGACCACATTTGGAAGTAAGCAAAGTGATGAGGATGACTTAGGCACATAAAACCTTTCTTAAACCAAGCCAGAAGCTTGCTCCACTTTGTTCAGCATTGTCTACATGGACTGGCAGCACCTCAAGAGGGTGACCTGGAGACACTGGGGATTGAACCTTCTAAAGGAGTAGGGTCCTTAAGACCAGAGTCTAAAACCACCTAACTTCACCACTGCTGACTTTGACCCTGATAAGGAGGGTGCCAGCCAGGTCAGTTTGGACACTAGAGAATGAGGTCTTGCTGTGGCCTGGGGGAAAGGCAGGATAGCAAGGGAAAGGGACTCCCAAGGGCCAGGTAGGCAATCCTGGGGGCCACAACTGAACCACAGGTCAAAGGGTGCCCATCTCTAGCTTGGGGAGGGGGCAGGGTTCTGCCCAGCCCCATAGACATTCTGTACTTCTGCAAATCTTTGTGTGTTCCCCATACCTGCAGAAACTTCCCCTCTTTTGTGCGGACGGTGCTGTTTCGGCTCTATGGACACCAGAGCTTGGGAAACGAATTTGCTACGAGTGTAGAAAAATTTCTCCCCGACTGGTCTTTGGGCTCACCTCTTTCTCCAGCTGCTCCAGTTCATTCTGTTCCTTCAGCAGCGTCTTGCTAAGGAGAGCCATATTGGAGTCCACCTGTTTATCTGTCTGGGCCAGCTCCAATTTCAACCGCTCCAATTCCTGCCGAAATTCTTCCGGGATGCTCTTCTGCTTCATAAGGACCGGCAGAGAGACACCTCGCCTGCGCAGGTTTGGGTCACTCACTTGCACCGTAAGTTTTTCTTCCGGTTCCTTTTAAGGAGAGGGATAAAAGATTCAGAAGGCGCTGAAGCTGGAAACTGAGGGCGCAGCCCTCCAGTAACTTGGGGAAATGCTGCTAGAACTTGCAAGGTTATCTCAGAACTGTTGTGGGAAATACTGGCACAGAGGATGCAAAGCATAGGAAGCATAGGGACTCTGCCGGCCATTGACTCTGGCTGTGCCTGCCACTGGCTTTGGCACCACCTACTGTTGGCCTCCAGGCCT